TTCTAGCACTAAAATGGCCGTAATCATAATAATATCAAAGATGTGCAGGAAGCACTGAATAATCATGCAGAAGTGCGTCTAGCCCCAAAGATTATATACAGCAAGATAGTTCACTTTTCTCTTTGAGAAACTCAAGAAGTGACCTCAGAATCGCCGATGGCGCCACCTGAGAACTAGCGCGAACTTGACGAACAGTTGACTATGGAAGTATGAGAAATATAATATCAGGGTTACTTTATAACTACGCTCTCATCGCAGTTTCATTGTGCAAAAGTTTTATGGCTGGAATTTTGTAGGAACTTAAGATGAATAAAATAAGTGAAGCAGTTGTGGGCCTAATAAAAGTATCTACAACAATGTTAAATCTCGATTTATCGACGACACTGCTCACAACGCTTTCATATCGGTACAGTCACTGAAGTCAACAATATGACTGAGGACTCAAGCGTGTTTGTCCTATTAAACGGTAGTTGGTCAGAAGGTTTCCGGATTTTGCCCCTGCCAGGCATCTCGAAAATCTGCTCCGTTCTAAACTAAACTCTATGAGTTTTATGGTGACGTGTGAGCACAAAGTACATTCCATCAGGCAATATACAAAAAGCTACTAAAACTACTAGAAGCACAAAGACAAGGGAACCAAAAAACCAACAGTAGCAAATTGTTAGTTTTTGTCGTCATTCGTCTTTGAGGGAAGGGGCAATGATTTTCGAAGTTTATTTTATTTTAATCGGAGTTCCATAATGCTGAAGTTGATAAGAACTGAGCGGAGCTAACAGCTGACCTCGATACGGAATTGCAACAATATTTTTTTTAAAAACTAAAACATTAACTACTTTTCTGTTCTTGAGGTTAGAGAGAAACCAAAAAAACTTATCAGCGACAGTATGCGCCATCTGAGAATATTGGATGCTCTTTGAGCAGAGTGAACCACCTTATATAGGATCATCGCGGCGCTAAATGATCGTACACACATCAATGTGTCTCCAGTATCCAACACTAAATAATTGTAATCGCTCCAATGTGTTTGTATCACTTTAATGGTCGCAATTGAGTCAATGTGTGTCTATCACTAAATGATCGTAACCGCGTCTGTGTGTCTGGCACTTAATAATCGTAAAAAATGTATATGTAGCAACAATAAAACTGCCTTAACATAGGACTCATTGTTCTCCAACACTGTCGAGCCCAAACTCTAAACCATGTGGGTGGTTGGCGAGTGCTCTGCTGAGGTTTACTCAATCTTTTTCTTTCCTATCAAGTATCATTCGTCCTTATCTCTACTCCTTTTATATGTTTGTTATTCTCTTGTAAAACATGTAGACCAAATCCTCATCACTTATCTGACAAAATTGCGTTGCAAATGCTGTCAAATTCTTACTAAAACAAACCTAGGAAAAAAAGCGAAAATCTCCGAAACATAAATTATTATCTGTAAATATCTAATAGGGCAAGGATGACACACACATACAGAAACAAAGAAGTTCAGAACCGTCAGGATACACAAAACGTTTAGAGACAAGAGTTTCTAAGAGTGTCCAGGAATGTCCTGGAATGTCCAGATTCTTTGAACCCCCCCC